GTCTTCCATCTACTGGTTCACTTCCCAAGTGGTCACAGTGGCTAGAGCTGAGCCAATCTGAACCGAGGAGCCAGGAGTTTCTTCTAGGTCTCCCACATGCATGAAGGGTCCCAAGGTTTTGAGCCACCCTCCACTGCTTTCCCAGGCCATAAGCAGGGAGCTGGATGGGAAGTAGAACAGCTGGGACATAAACGAAGGTCCATATGGGATGCCAGTGCTTGTAGGGGAGGATTAGCCAACTAAGCCATTATACCAGGTCCAACATTCTTTGTTTTAAACAAGTGAGTCTAAGTGTTTCTTTGAATTCTGCAAGCTGCTTTAGCAAATCCATTAACCTAAGATGAGTTTATGAGAAGAATCCTGATTATAACCACTTGGTCATCAGGATGGGTCACACCTGTGACCTGCCTCTGAAGCAAAGGTAATTTTGTGGGATGGAGCCCTCCTGGGATCTAGCACCATAGGTAGATTCTATTAGAAATGAACTGAATTTGAGGTATGAACATTATTGGAATCAAAATGGAGTCTCCTGGAGCAACCTTAACAAACAAATAACATCAGTAAGTTGCAAAGGCTGGGGTCTCCTTGAGCTGTAGGCAACTGCCTAGGTTGCTTTATACATAGGCAAGTGTTACAATGCTGGGAGAGAAGCAGTCAATAGCTGGCAGGCACTCTGGGCCTGGTTAATAACAAATCTGTGTTAACCATACTACTGTGCCAGCACAGTTGCCTATTATATACTATTTTTTAATGATTTATTAATTTTAAAGATTTATTCATTTTATTGGAAAGGCAGATTTACAAAGAGAAGGAGAGAGAAAGAAAAAACTTCCATCCACTGGTTCACTCCCCAAGCAGCCACATGGCCAGAGCTGAGCCAATCCAAAGTCAGAAGCCAGGAGCTTCTTCCAGGTCTCCCACATGGGTACAGGGTCCCAAGGCTGTGGGCTGCCTTGACTGCTTTCCCAGGTCACAAGCTGGATGGGAAGTGCGGCAGCTGGAATATGAACTGGCACCCATATGGGATTCCAGCGAATGCAAAGTGAGGATTTTAGTCACTAGGCTACCATACTAGGCCTTATTCTATTCTATTCTATATGTATAATAAATATATATGTTTTATACATATATGAAAGAGAGGAGATTGGCTAGGACACCCCACCACGGCCCCCAGAAACACCAGCCACACTGTGTGCTGCTGCATGGTGAGAGAGATTCTCCAGCTGCAGATGCTTGTGGAAGAGTTCTAGGGATGTGTTGGAGTGGGGACCACTGTGGGCATGACTGACAGGTGAGAGGTGACTTCCGGTGGCTTCCACAGACCAGGTCACTATACTTGCAAATAAGCCAGAGAGCTGAGACAAAGTGGTTTGGGGTGTGGGGGGAAACAGAAGGCATGTCTGGGTCAAGTCAAGACATCTACCCACGTGGGAGACCTGGGTTGGGCTGATTAGCATCTCCCACTGCCTACCAGTGCACACAAAAGCTGGGGCTGAAAGGCATGACTGACTGGGCTAGGCCACAGTACGCACTTGTTAGAGCAGGGGTGGGCCATGACAGGTTAGGTAGGCTTCAGCGCCCACAGGAACATGAGGGAACTGGATTTGAGGGAAGATTCTATAGGGAATTTCTAGGCTCGCTTCTGTGGGACTGTAGCACCTACAATTCGCACAAAAGCTGGACATGGTGACTGGCTGAGCCAGGCTGGACCCTGGAACTTACTGACACTCAGGGGAGCCAGGGCAGGGATGAGGCTGGGCTGGGGCAGGCTGTGACACCTGCTGGCACATGCAAAGGCTGGGACTAATGCCAAGCAGCACCATGGCACCCACTGGCATGTGTGAAATTTGGGGCTGGAAGCAGATCTGGTAGGGGAACTTGGGAAACTCCCTTGCTAAGCTGCAGCTTCTGCTGAGGAACATGAGAGATGGAGCTGGGACCAGGTAGAACCAGACAAGACTGCAGCACTTGCTTGGGGGCAGGCTGGGATGGGCAAGGCATCAGCACCCACTGGCACATGTAAAAGTCAAGACATGTTCAAGAGCATGTGCAGGGGCCAGAGTGAGTGCAGGTTTGCCATGGTAGGCTGCAGCATCAGCTGGCAAGTGTTACAGTACCCCCATTGCAAGCACAAGATCTGTGGCTGGGAAAGGGCCTGGTGGGCAAACTAGGGGCACTCCCCTGCCAGGTTGTAGCTACTACTGGTGAGCACAAGAGCAAGGGCTAAGGGCAGGCCAGGCTGGGAAAGGCAACAGAATCCACCAGCATATATGTGGACCAGATTTGGTTGAACTAAGCTATAGTACCCATGGATGTATGCAAGAGCAGGATGGGTTGTAGGCCTGGCTGAGTTAACCTGCAACACATGCCAGCAGGTACAAAAACCAGGGCTGGTCACAGCTACTGGGGGTCACTTCTACTACGCTGTGGCATCTGTTGGTGTGGGTGAGAACCAGGCCTATCGTGGGCTGGGCAAGGGTAGGTTTGCATGAGAGTTGGGTTAGGGGTAGAAAAGAGCAAGCAGTACATCTGCCAGTATGAATGCTGGCTAGTGTGCCAGACCACACCTGACCCTGCACTGGCTGGTGTATACAAGAGTCAAATCTGAGGTCACCCATGGTGAGGTTTTCTGGGGACTCTCCAATTAGATTGATGGACTCAAAACCTGGTCTCAGGAAAAATCACAAGATATGTGGTACAAGGCCTGGTGCAGTTGTCTAGTGGTTAAAGTCCTTGCCTTGCACATGCCAGGATCCCATATGGCTGCGCTTTCTGATCCAGATGCTCCACTTCCACAAGCTCTCTGCTTGTGGCCTGGGGAAGCAGTCAAAGGCAGCCCAAAGCCTTGGGACCCTGTACCTGTGTGAGAGATTCAGAGGAAGCTCCTGGCTTTGGATCAGCTCAGCTCTGGCCATTGTGGCTCCCTGGGGAGTGAACCAGTGGACAGAATATCTTCCTTTTCATGTCTCCTTCTCTTTGTATATCTGCCTATCCAATAAAAATAATAAATTAAATATATATGTGTATATACATACATAGGCCAACCTTGGCATGTATGTGTCAGCCTCCTGAGTGGATTATGCCTGTGCAATGGACAGCAAGCCAGATGCACACAGGGGACATGACAGCGAGTTCATCTGGGTCATCAGAGAACATTGAGTGCTTTGTGAGAGAACGGAAAACAGGTTGGATAACTCTCCCAGCCAGGCTTTGCAATAAGTGTCTGGGTCTGTGGATGCACTAAGGTGGACTTGATGAGCCAATAGAGCTTGGAAAGATTTTTCTCAAAGCTGGTCACGACCACTGAAGCAACACCCTCAGAACATTCTCCCCCATTTCAGAACCTCTTAGGCATCATCAAATGAACATCCCCCATTTCTGGGTGCTGACAGCAAAGAGCAGTCCTCTACCTTTTCTCCTTTATGGAGACAGGAGGGAGGGAGAGAGAGAGAGAGAGAGAGAGACAGAACTAAAACATTTGTCCTGCCCACCTTCCTTATGCCATGACCCTCCCCACCCCAGTCAGAGGCTCACATGGATATGCATTCCTCTCTCAACTGTAAAACAGTATCAAAAATTGAAATTTAGAAACTTTAAAAAGAAACAGTGCCTGATGGTAACTATTTCAAATGACTGCCAGACTCACCAACTTACCAGAGGCTACTGCAACCTTACTAAGAAGTGCTGCTGTATCAACACCTGCGCCACAACTGCCTGCTCACCCCTGGACTATTAGCTTGTCTAATATGTGGTCAAAGATTGTTAGGCAAAATATCTCGTAAATTTTTCTTGGTATTGCCTTTAGAAATTTTCCCTTGCTTCAGTCTCTTTAATAAAATCAGAGTTAATATGGCAAGTCTATTCTCACAGCAGTGTCCTGCTCTTCCATTGCTTTTCCAGATAAAGCTTGATTTTTTTTTTTTTTGGAAATGCAGAGTTAAAGAGAGAGAGAAAGAGAAACAGAGAGAGCTCTTCTAACCACTGGTTCACTCCCCACATGGCCACAATGGCTGGTGTTGAGCCAGTCCAAAGCCAGGAGCTTCTTTCCCAGGTAGGTGCAGGGGCCCAAGGACTTGGACCATTTTCCAATGATTTCCCAGGTCACCACCAGGAATCAGAAGTGGAGCAACTGGTTGAATTTGTACCAATGAGGGATGCCAGTGCCACAAGCAGAGGCATAACATGGTATGCCATGGTGCCAGCACCTTAAGGCTTGATACACACACACACACACACACACACACACACACACACACACACACACACAGCATTTATATACACAAAAACAGAGAAAAACATAGTTGCACAGAAATGGGGGATTCGGGGGGATAGAGCTGGGCCAGTACAAAGCTAGAAACTGGCAACTTCTGGGTTTTCCGCATGAATGTAAGGCCCTTCAGTCACCTTCAGCTGTTTTCCCAGGTACATTTAGCAGGAAGATGGATAGAAAGTGGAACAGCAAAGACTTGAACTGGCACCCATATAAAACAGCATTGTAGGTGATTGCTTTACCTGCTATGCTGCTGACCTCAAAGCCTCATTTTAATCTTAATGTTTCTTCTGATTGACAGAGGACACAGATTTGCTAGATGTGTGAGAAATAACCCACACGTATCTGGAGTCAGGAGTGTGTTGAGTAGGGCATAAGGAAACAAGAACATTTTGGTGTGGTTTTCCTATTTTTATAAAGACAAATGGTCCTTATTTGAAGTCCACTTCCATCTGTGCGAGTGTGGTCAGACAACATCTGTCAGCATTGTTGTGAACAGTCTGACCCATGCAACACTCTTCCTCCATCCCCAGGTCAAACAAGCCTCACATACTCCACAGATGCCACTCTTGCCAAGCCCCAGATGCCAAAGAAGACAAAGCTGAAGGGTCAGGCTGTCCCCAGCCCCACTCCGAATGACCTGAACCAAAGCCCAGGCAGCCATTCCTTGAGGAGGTAGACCTGAGGAGGCTGGTTGGACTGAAAACTCATCTGAATTCCCATTCCTTTCCTCCAACACCCCAGCTCTGTGGCTGATTACAAATGACTTAAGTTTATTTATTCTGGAGTGGAGGAGAATCAAGAATAAACTGAGGATGGCAGAGTTGGAGAAGTTTGCAGGGTAGATAACAGTCAATGCTTAGTTTGTTAAGTCTAAAAACAAGTGTTAGTAAGACATCTAGACAACAGCCAGCAATCTTAGGTAACAAAGAAAGTAAATGAGGTACAATACATGGCAGATAGGTCATCAATATAATGTCACATGTGAGCTACTGCTTTTCAGTATGTGTGTGCGTATATATATGAATAACTTCATAAATATAACAAATCCATACTATGAACAGACCGTTTTTATTGATTAATATACACATAATTAAGTTTATCTCTTTCCTTTATTCATTTTCATCCTCCTGCCTCACCCTACACACACGCACACTCATACACACACTTACTTGTAATACTTGTAAAGTAGCATGGTTAAAGAATGAGAAATCAGCAAAGCAAATATTCAGTGCAAGAAGGTCAAAGAGGTGAGAAAAGTCAAGTGCAGCAGGAAGTAGAACAGTGTGCGCATGCAGTCAGCCCCAGTTCTGCTTGCTCTTCAGATAGGACAAGTCTGAGGGCTATCTTAGCCAAGGACCCACACGGACTCATGGCCACTGTGGGAACCTGCTCCTTGACACACCCAGGATAGTATCCCTTCCCCTCCCAGTGTCACTTCCCTATTCTTCTGTCAGCATTTCTTGGAATCACCTCCAAGTAAACTGCTTACACTCACACCCTTGCTCTGGAGTTCCTTTGGCATGCAGGAGACCCAATTTGAGTCAAACATAGCGAGTGATGAGATGATACCCATGAAGACTTGAGTAAGAGGACAGGAGCTCTCTAGCTTGGGAGATGCTGACCCCATCAACTGCGATAGAAGACTCGTCATTAGAACGGGACGGAGAGATTCAGGGAGAACAGGATGAGCCAGATGATGAGACTGAGCTTAAGGTGCTTAAGAGACTTGTGCAAGCAAAGCAAAACTCTGGGAGTACAAGGTTGAGACTTTGGAGAAAAGTGAAAAGAAATTGAGCAGAAAAAAAGGTCAACATGAAAAATAAAATAAAATTTCCAAAAATGAGTATCGCATTTCCCTAAAGGGTAACTCCAGAGTCTTCCTCCGACCCAAGAGAATATAAAGCCCTTGCTGTCTCCTCCAGCCTGTCTCTGTATTCCAGCTTCTCATAGTTGGAGGGACTCACTCCTTTAAAACCATGCATAACTCCCCACCAGCAGCCAGCGATGGCAGCTGTGGAATCGCTGTCTCCGCCATGGAAAAAGGCTCTATGGGCAAGTTCCTTCCAGGAGTCTCCCGCAGCCAGGATAGCATCATAGGCGATCATGGGGGCGTCGTGGCCACTGCTGCCACCCCAGCCAGAGTAACTCAGGGAGGTGTAGAACTGGTCCCTCTGCTTCACGCTGAAGGGCTCAGGGAAGCTGGGGTCTGCTTTGCCATCCAAAATCCCTCTAAGCTTCAAGTATTTTTCCCATTGATTTTGGAAGTAGGACCTGTGAGTGAGAAGGAAAAAAAAAATCTATAGTCAATTGAAAAAGTCAAAAGTTATTACAAAAAAAAAAAAAATAACACGTGGGTGTGTGAACAGAGAAAACAGAAATTCCAAGGTGAGATCAGCTTCTTGTGCTTTCATCATAGACAATATATAGGTCAAAATGAGCCCCTGTTAAGTGCCTGTAATTCAATACATTTTTGCTAAGGAACTACATAAAACAAGACATGAACCCTATTGCTAAGAAAAACATCTATATCAAGGCTAAGGAGCATGAAATAAAGTTCTATTTTCCTAGCTTGAGTGTCATGTCAGGTATCATGTTACCACTGGGAACTTGAAGACATCATGACCACAAGTGCCAGCACAAAGTCTCTGGATCCTTTCATTCTGAGAATGTGACGCGAACTAACAAAGAGGAGATGCAGCTGGTCCATTTACTAATAAGCGAGGAGGGAAATCGAGCTCACTGAAATTCTAAACTGGGAGTTAAAAATATTACTTGGTGTTTCAGGCCACCACTGAACAAATAATTTTCAGCAAAGTGGGAAATCAGCAAGACATCTCACCTCAGCATATCCAATGTCCACAAAACCAAGGAAACTGGAGCACGGAAGAATCCCTACATGAGAGATAGGCACTGCAGCTATAATGCCCAAGGAGTGCTTCCCTGAACTACTTTGGGGCAACCACTGCTGGGAGGAAATGTGGCATCCAGGCAGGTGGGCCGGGAGGGTACTGGGGGCAAGATTCATGGTGGCTGTTGTCACCTTCCAGTGCTACCATGCACTCGCATCAGATTCTGCCATGTTCCAGCAAGAGCATGCACCTAAAGACTCACCAATGTTGAAGATTCTCCTCCACAAAGTAGCCAGACTGGACAATGTACTTTTTAGCTTGTGGCAGCACCTCCATCAGTCCTTTACCCCACTGCCGGGGTGGCTTGCCATTCACAGCATAGCTTGTAAAAAGGGCAGACACAAGGGCCCCCAGGTAGCCGGTTGGATGGTGGTGGGTCATTCGGCCACTCTCAATGCTCACTTGGATCAGTGCATCCAGCTGACTGTGGTGAGGGAACCTGAGCCCAATGCACATGGCCCGCATGGCAGCCCCACAGCCACCTTCATGGCTATTGAAGGGAATCCTCCAGCCATTGGCCTCGGCTGGCTTCAGCCGCCTGGCATTCTGCATTGAGGCAGCACCTAGGGAAGAAGAAGGAGGGCGTGGCAGTTGACATAGCCAAAGCAAGAAGCAAGAACTGAACTTTCTCCAAATGTATTTGATGATGAAGGACAGATGATAATGGCTTTGCATTCCAAACCCAAACATGACAATGTGCCTTATTTATAAATGGCCTGTAGCACTATCATGGGAATGATAAGAGAAGTACTCATGTAAAGAGCCTTGGAATCTCCCCCATGTTTTACTGAGACACAGAGTGACTCAGAAAGCTAGCTATAACATTAGTATTTTTTGTTAGTGAGCAAGGCAATGCTTAGAGCACAGTATTTTTAATGACAGTAGGTTTATAACACAGAAGTTCTTTCACTTGACGCACAATACTTTTCTTTAGTAACTATTCATCTACATAATTTAGAACATTGCAACACTGTCCTCATATTTAAGAAAATCATGGAACCCTTAGGTTTCTTCTGTTTTTAGTGCAACTTCCAACTTTATGGTATGCTTGATACTTAAACTTCCACTGGGGGCAGGTTAATTCCAGCTCACAATCCCAGCTTCCTGTTAAGTCACACTGGAGAGGTAGCAGGTAATGGCTCCTGTAGCTGGGCCCTTGCCAACCACAAGGGAGTCCTGGACTGACTTCGCCTGAGCCAGCCCTTGCACTTGCAAGTATTTGGGAAGTGAAGCCACAGATGGGAGATTTCTCTCCACCTCTGTCTGCCTTTAAAGTAAATTAAAATAAATACTTTCTTCAAGAATCTCCAGCAGCATTCTTGATTATTTTCCCAGATCTGCCTTTCTCTCCACCCTCTGGGTGTGCTTACCAGCTGCTCTGCCATCCATGTCTTTCATGCAGTCTTGGTAATGCCTTGCAAGGTATGAATACAGTTGAGCCAACTTTGGAGCCTTCCCGGCCTCCACGAGGGCTTCTGCCGTGGCCAAGTGCATCACCGTGTCATCGCTGACTTTCCATCTTCCCACGTCTATTACTTCCAAGCCGCCCAGCTGGGCCAGCTGCTGGTGAATCTTCTCCCCATCCTGGAGGAACTCCCACTTCCCATTGAAGTACCCCAGGGCATCTCCAGCCCCACTCAGTACCATGGCAGCCACATACCTCTCTATCAGTCCTGCACACATGCTGGGCCCTGCAGTGCTGTCTTTAGGGGACAAGTAAGACACAGGAAGGAGGAGGAATAGAAAGATAAATATGAAAAAATTGATTACCCCCATCCACACGTTATGGAGTACTCACTCCTTGCAGGCAGCAGATGAAGTACATCTCATTTAAGCTTCATAACGATCCTTGAGGAGTATATTAACCCATCTGACAGGTGCTTTAATCAAGGGTTATGGCAATAAGGCAATTTCAGAAATCAGTGACTCTTCTTGGGTGAGTGGCAAGGCTGAGATTCCAGTGTAGATCCGTGTGACTCATGAGTGGCTAGCTCATGAAACTGCAAATCACAGCTGAGGCCCCTTTCTTCCACCACAGGGGTGCCTTGGCGGCCTTGGGGAGGGGATGTAGGGAGGGGAAGTGGGGAGGGGTGGATTCAGGCTGTGGCCAGTGGAGCAGAACAGGCCTGGTAATTCCTGCATATGTTTGGGTCCCAGGATCTGCATAAAACAAGACATGTGCTGGTTAGCACATGAATCAGTGTTGGTGTTGGCCAGGTCAGGCAAGACTGCTCCACTTGCTAGCAAGTGTTGGTCAGCAAATTGGTCAGCTAGCGAATTGGTCAGCAAGGTGGGAGGGGAGCTGGGCAGGACTGGGCAAAACCTTAGCACCCTGGCATGTGCAAAAGCCAGGATGGGTGCAGGTCACACAGGGCTAGGCTATCATACCTGCCAGTTTGCATGAAAGCCAGGAATGGGGCAGACTGGGTAGGGCTGGGCTACAACACCCACCAGAGAGAGTTGTACAGTACTGGGGGTTGGCTGGGCCAGGCCAGGCTGCAGGATCTGATGGCAAAGAGGATGGGCTATGCCAAAGGGGTTAGGATATGTGTCAGAGCAACCACCAGCACACCCAAGATCTGTGGTTAGGAGCAGATGACTTGTGGTTCCTACTAGTGAGCACAAGAGTCAAAATCAGGGTGGCAAACTGGGCTGGACATGGCTGCAGTATGCCTTGGCATGGGTGTAGACTGAGTCTGGGGTGTGCCAGAATGGATTGGGCTCCAGCACCCACTAGTACTCACAAGAGCCAAGGTGAGTGTAGGACAGGTTGGCTAAATCTCAACAACCTGCTGAACCATACAAGACCTGAGTCTGGGGATGGACCAGGGTGGCTGGGCTGTAGCACCCAACAATAAGAGCTGGAATGGGTATGAGCTGCTCAGGCAAGGCCGTTGTACTTGCCAGGACATGTCAGGCTGGGCCAAGCACCCACCAGTGTGTACAAGATCTGTCACTGGGAGGAGACCCAACTGAGGAGCTTAGGGAGTTGAGCATAAGAATCAAGACTGGAAGCAGCCCAGACCAGGACAGGTTATAGTAGCTGAGAGCATACATGGTCTGTGGGCAGGCTAGGCTGGGCAAGTTCACCCACTGGCATATATGAGAACCAGGAGAGGGTTCAAGACAGGTCGGATTGGGCCACAACACAAGTCAGTTCACTTTAGGGCTGGGACTGGAGGCTGGCTGGGCTAGACTAGGCTGCAGTACCCACCAGCATGAGCTGGAATTAGGGGCAGGTCAAGCCAGGCTGGGTTACCGCACCTGCCGATAAATGCCAAGGTGAGGTGGGCCATGCCAGACTGGGCTGCAACACGCACCAGCAAACATGAGACCCAGGAGTGGGGAGTAAACCTGGTAGGGGGGCAGAGAGGACTCCCATGCTGGGCTACTGCTCCCACTGGTGAGCATGAGAACTGGGACTGGAGGTAGAGCAGGCTAGCCAGGACAACATCCATTGGCCTGGATGTGAGCTGTGTTAGGAGAGCCAGACTGGGCTAAGCAACCATATCCACTGGGGTATGCACGAGCGACAGCATACCCAAATGCATATGGAGGATATGTCAGTCAACTGGAGCCTGCAGAGGACATCTGGTACCACAGCAGAGGATGGAGGACAGAACAAATCGGACAACTCTCCCAGCCAAGCATTGACAGCAAGTTTCTGGGCGAATGGAGACTATAAAGTGGACTTTGTCAGCCAGTGGACCTTGGAAGGATTTCCTCACCCTTGGAGCAATGAAATAAACAGCATTTCAGAACAACCAAAACCACTTGAGCAGTATCCTTGGAGCATGCTGCACATCAGGGACCCTGGAATGACATTTGGTGGCCATCTGCCATTCCCAGGTGCCAGGGATGCTGGGTACAGCTTTTTCCTTTCTCTACCACGCACCTCCAACCACATACAGGAAGAAGAAAAAGAAAATTGTGGAGACAATGGTCATCCATTTTTCTCTGTTCCTCAATCTTTTCCATCCTAATCAGTGGTCCACATGGGTATGCATCCTTCTCAGCTACATAAACACCATAAAAATAAAATAAAAAAAAAAACCTGCAGATCAGATCAAGCTCACCTTTTTTATACTCTGGTTGAGATCTGGCCTTGGAAGTACAGGCTTTATTTAAGCAACAATACTGGCTGCTGGGACTCACATGAGCAACCCATCAGCGCCTTCCACATCTGTGAAATGGTAATGATAAAAACAGTTAACAGCCAAGTGAACTTATTGGGAGAAGTAAATGCATTAATTTACATGAAGCCCTTAGGGCTTGGCATCACTAATTTTTTTAAAGAGTTATTTCTTTTTCTTGGAAGAGCAGATTTACAGAGAAGAAGATAAAAAGAGAAAGATCTTCCGTCCACTGGTTCACACTCCAAGTGGCCATAAGGGCCAGAGGTGAGCCAATCCAACCCAGGAGCCAGGAATTTCTTCTGGGTCACCCACATGGGTGCAGGGTCCCAAGGCCTCGGGCCATCTTTCACTGCTTCCCCTGGCACAAGTAGGGAGCCAGGTGGGAAGTGGGTCAACACGGACACAAACCGGTGCCCATATGGGATCCCCAGTGCTGGCATGGATTTAACCACTAAGCCATAGTGTCTGTCCCAGCAACATTATATTTATTATTCAAAACCAAGTGGGAAAAATCTAAAATTTGAGTTTGATTTCAATGATCACCTTCTCTTTATAGAGTATCATGATCTTAGCTCATGTACCCACCATGAATTAGATCTGAGTCTAGCGCCGCCTGAACTCCATAGAGAATCAGGATGTCCACCTGCAGCTTTCCTATTAGATCAAGGGATGAGCTGCCACACACTGACATTTAGTTGTCTTTGGCGTTCCTGAAGCCTCAGCTTCCCGGATGTTAATCCTTCTAGCCCCTCTCCACTGTGCTATCCAGAATAGCCAGCAGGGTGGCTCAGGTCAGCGCCTCGTTCTAGTCCCCGCCCCCATACACCCCCAATAATGTTCTTATTCCTTAAACTCTTCTAAACACGTCACTTTCACACAACCAGACTAAACAACAGTGCTTCAAAAAGGTTCATGGAAAATGGACTCCCAAAGTGTTTAATTCAGTAACCCCCAAATTTCTGAAATCCCAGTTTGTGTGTTTGTTTGCTTGTTTGTTTAAATAACACTCATTTCCCATCAACTTCTTGACGACTGCATTCAACTCCAGGTCTGGGACAGCCCTCTGCTTGGAGGAGAGTATCAACATGCAACACGACACCATCTCCCCGCCCCCGCTCCCATCCCCCCCTCCCGACCCCGCCCGCCAGCCCTCGCACTGGAAAATCTGAACGGCTTTGCCACTTTCAAGATTCTGGGAAGCCTATAGGGAAGTGTTCCCCACCTACCCGCGGGGAGGGGAGAGCCGGGGTCCCGAGAGCAGAGGGTGGTACCTGGTTCCCGCGAGGACAACTGCGCGCTTGCCCGCCGTCCTGTGAACTTGGGCGCGCGCAGTCCCGGAAGACAGAGCCCTGCACGGCCCTCCTTTCGCGGTGGCCAAGTGCGCGTCCAGCTCTTTACGCTGGCCCTAGAGGGATTCCGGCCAGTGGCGCGACCTAGAAAGCGACTTCCGAATGCGGAGGAGGACCAAGACTATCACGCATCACCCAGGCTTCGGAGCGCCTGGCGGGGTGCTGTGTGGGGGGTGTGAACCAGCTGTCTGGGTAATTCCTGTGGGGTCCTGGGCCTTTGTCCATGGCCTTTCCTCCCAGCTTTCTTGGGAGCCGGAATGGGAGGCGGTGCCGAATAACGGAGACGCCTTTGCGGGGGTTTCCAGGCCCATCGCTGGGAAATGGAAAGTGATAATACCTACCTCTTAACTGCACTGAAGGATTACATTTGTTTGAACTCTATATGGCAGGAGTATAGGATTCTTTACATACTGATATGAGCACAGAAAAACTGGGATTGTTTGGGTTGAAATGATAGTGTTACTTATAAAGAGGATTACGGAATTACCGTCTACAGGTTTTCTCTGTGCCTCTCTGGCCTGAACTTTTTGAACATCGAGGTGTCCTTTATATGTAGTGAAATGGAATGTGCACACTGGGATGCCAGCACAACCCCCCTGCTTGCCATGTACCCAAGTCATCTGCCCCTAGTGGGAGCTGCTCAAGGAAAGCGTTTACTTGTGACAAGGAGGGCGATGGAAGACCCCTCAAGAAACCGCCACGGGCTAACCCAAGATGCCAGTGCTTTCATGGCAAGGGCTAGGGGCGTGTCCAGGGCAAAGTGGGAGAAGAGAAATCTCTTGCTTAAGTCTTTGTGCCTCCTCAACTCCTATGTGTTCAGACAGTAGCTATATCTATCTCCCTTGGGTGAAATATTTAGTATTATAAGGAGGAAAGTTCAGCATAGATAGAGGCCAATTATTTCTTGTCGCTTAACCTGTACCTTGTTTGTGATGTCTGCCTCACCCCCACACACAGACACACACACACACAATGTTGCCTGATGAGCTCTTTATAAAGGTTTATTTATTTTTTTTTTATTACAAAGTCAGATAGACAGAGAGGAGAGACAGAGAGAAAGATCTTCTGTCCAATGATTCACTCCCCAAGTGAGCGCAACAGCCGGTGCTGTGCTGATCCAAAGCCAGGATCCAGAAACTTCCTCCAGGTCTCCCTTGTGGGTGCAGAGTCCCAATGATTTGAGCCATCCTCGACTGCTTTCCCAGGTCACAAGCAGGGAGCTGGATGGGAAATGGAGCTGCTGGGATTAGAACAGGTGTCCATATGGGATCCTGGCGCATTCAAGGTGAAGACTTTAGACACTAGGCCTGCATGGGGCCCACCTGATGAGCTCTTTAGGAAAATGCTCTGAAGAACAAGCTCAATGGAGCTGGAATTCTTTCGGTTATTCTGCTGCTCCCATGTGCCCCTGCTTTTGGGCCTAATCCCCACACTCTTGGTTACATAGGTAAGCACTATATGTATACTATTTCCACTACTCCGAAGCATTCCCCACCACTCTTCCCCAGTCCTTCCCTCACTTCTACCTTGAAAGACATTTCAGTGTTTTCAAAGTCATGTTCACCCCTCGAAGATTTGCAGCCTCTAAAGGAATGATCAAAGACAGTTGATGGTGAGGACTATTTTCATACTAAGTATCTCTATAAAACTCATGACTGTTTCAGCATGTCTGTCCAGGGTGTTGTTCAGATCCCTGAGAGGGGGAACTAGACAGGAAGATCAGGTGGGGGTGGGTGAGCTGGAATTTCAGCCAGCTTCACCT